CTTGCCTGTTTTGGGTCCATGGAGTCTCAGATAATGAGCCTGAGATGGCAATTTTGGAAAAAGTCAATGTGGACTAGGGGCTGAGAGAAGATGATAAAGGCGAAGAAATCACCATACGCTCCAATTTGGATTAGATAGTTCCAACACTTTTTTTTTTTTTGCAGTACACGGGCCTCTCATTGTTGTGGCCTCTCCGGTTGCGGAGCACAGGCTCCGGACGCACAGGCTCAGCAGCCATGGCTCACGGACCCAGCTGCTCCGCAGTATGTGGGATCTTCCCGGACTGGGGCACGAACCCGTGTCCCCAGGCGGACTCTCAACCACTGCGCCACCAGGGAAGCCCCAGTTCCAACACTTTTGCAAGATATTTATAAATAGTTTTTATTAAGATGTGTGTGTCTTAAAATTTACAGGTTGAATCTAGTCTCCACTGTTTGCTAGCTGTGTAGTTTTGAAGTGCAGTTTCCGTATCCATAAAACGGGAAGAATTATGCTGGCCTCTTAGGGTGATAGGGAGGCTTAATGAGCAACATATGCTTAATAATATTAATTCTCTGTTTTATCAGCTCTTGTTCCTTCGTCTGCTAACTAAGGACTCCTTTTCATCCCTATTCATTGTGATCGCTTGAATTGTTCATAAACGTGTAGGTGGTTTCAGCTCTGCACATGTGGGGCCGGTGACCAGCCCCAGGTGTTGAGGTGGTGTTGCAGGTGGGTGAGAAACAGAACTCCTCAGCCTGACCTCCTGCTAGGTCCAGTAATTTCTTCTAAGTCCTGGCTGTGGTGCCCCTCCCCCAGCATTCTTCCCCTCTGACCCTCTCCCACTCCAAGTTTCTGTGCCCACTGCCCACGGCTCCCACATGTGCACGCTCTTCTAAATAAGGAGCACTTGCATCCTGATTTGACCTGTAATGGGCAATTAAATTATGTGTAAATTGGGTCAAGTATCAAACACCTCATAAAAGTGAGCGCTCAAACCTGCTACATTTATAAAAAAGATTTGTAAGCTGAACTTAAAAACTTAAATTGAAGCTAGGTTTTAAAAGATGTTACTATAATAAACAGAATATCCATTTTAAATTTAAAGACTCCATCAGCTTTTTGCAGACACACAAGAAGCCCTGACATTGACTAATCTGGGTGGAGGAGGGCACAGATCACACAGAACTTGGAAGGAGCAGTCGCCCTCCCCCAGGGATTTACCAGCCTTGGGCTAGAGCCTGGGACAGTCTTGGTGGACTGACTTTCCTATGCCCTGCCTGCTCTGGCGCTCCACCCTGGGGATCAAAAGTCAATTGCAGTTAGATTGTCACTTTACTAAGAGAATAAGGCCATGGGAGTGGCTGTGGGTTACTGACCCTGATCCCTTTCCCCATTAGGATGACCCATGTCCCACGTGACCTTGATATCCTTCTTCCTCTGGCAGCACAAAGGTGACAGTCTTCTCATGGATCTCTGCCCTAAGTCTCTGGGTTTGCCCAAATCACCTGACTCTCCTCATTCACCCACTGAGGCATACTTTGTAAATTAAACATAGATGCCTGCATGCAAGATGGAGAGAACCCTCTACAATCACGGGTCAAACTCAGACATGTGAAGTCACATATTTTTCTTTTTTCTCCCCCCCCCCACCCCCGACTCTAATTAGATGGTGGTTGTCACCTGTCAGGTGCAAACACACTTAAGAGAGGAGTCGTAGAAAGATGTGGAAAAAGTAGGGACAGAGTGGCCAGAAAGAAGTGGAAGGGAAAGGGGAGAAAAAACATATTTCTTTAAGGTCTAAAGAAGGACTTGATGGGGCTTCCCTGGTGGCGCAGTGGTTGAGAGTCCGCCTGCCGATGCAGGGGACACGGGTTCGTGCCCCGGTCCGGGAAGATCCCACGTGTTGTGGAGCGGCTGGGCCCGTGAGCCATGGCTGCTGAGCCTGCGTGTCCAGGGCCTGTGCTCCGCAACGGGAGGGGCCACAACAGTGAGAGGCCCGCGTACTGCAAAAGAAAAAAAAAAAAAAAAAAAGAAGGACTTGATGAAGGGAAAACCAAAGAGAATAGCTTAGGCTAATTAAGAGAGGGAAGAACCTAGCTAAGATTTACTGAACACTTACTATGTGTTAAGAATTGTTTTAAGGACTTTGCATCTTATCTCATTGAAGCCTCCCAACAACTGCAAAAGATAGGTTATTTGGGGGTTTTGCTGTTGAGGAAATGGAGGCATAGATGAAGTCAGTTGTTCAAGGTCCCGGTGGGGTCAGGATGCAAGCCCACCAAGGCTGACTAGAACCTGAGCGACATCTGTCCTCCATACTCCCCCCTCCCCACTCTTCCCAGTTGGCTGTTCCAGGGATAAGGAAAGCTACCCAGTGAGAAGCACAGGGTGGGCACCATGGTTGTGAACTTATTTAGAAGAAACTCAGTAAACTCAACATGTTTTCTATAATTCAGATTCTTTAAGGGCAAATGTTCCCATGAAATTGCAGGTTAGCAGAGAAAATGGATTTATTCTGGACACTATTTCTGCATGTAAGAATGGATACAGGAGACTTTGTTATTTACTGAAAAGGCTTCCTGAGGTGTTCAATAACCCTAACAAAGGATGCTGACCAGTTTGGGGTCTGGCCTGGAGATGATTAGTATGGAATCAAATTATGTCAAAGGGGAACTTGGGGTTGACCACGTGCCAGACAATTCCATGTAGAGACAGTGGAAGGGACTTCTCTAGTGGCACAGTGGTTGGGAGTCTGCCTGCCAATGCAGGGGACACGGGTTTGATCCCTGGTCTGGGAAGATCCCACATGCTATGGAGCAACTAAGCCCGTGAGCCACAACTACTGAGCCTGCATGCCACAACTACTGAAGCCCGCATACCTAGAGCCCGTGCTCGGCAACAAAAGAAGCCAGTGTAATGAGAAGTTCGTGCACCACAACGAAGAGTAGCCCCCGCTCGCTGCGACTAGAGAAAGCCCACGCGCATCAACGAAGACTCAACACAGCCAAAAATAAATAAATAAGTAAATAAATAAACAAATTTATGAAAAAAAAGATAGAGACAGTGGGAGACACACCAGTGTGATTCAAAACTCTTGAGTGCAATATGAAGGTGGGAACACTGGCCCAGGTGTAAATAAGAAAGGTGTAAATGTGAAAGGTGATGCCACCATCTGTTTACAGATAAAATGCAGTTAGGCAAACTGCCCAAGAGCATTACATAATAGGAAGGAGGTGGGCAGAGTCGGGCTTGCTTTAAGGGCATACAAAAGAAAGTGGAAGAGGAACCAAGGAGTTATTTTCATTTGTCTGAAGAATGCAGGGAAGAGGTTTTTTTGGGGGGCGGGAGGGGTAAGTAAGATAAAGGGAGGTTTTCTGGAAGAGCTTCCAGGGGAAAATAAAGAAGATATATTTCAGCTTGTGGTGGGTATTTGGAGATGGGACAGATGACTTTCGTAATATTAAGCAATGAACCGGAGTGGCAGTAAGAAATAGTAAGTGGGAGAAAATAGCTCTTGAGAGGAAATGAGAGGACCATGACTGAAGTTTGTCTCAAGCCTGCAGAAAAGGAGAAGGGGAGGAGAGGAGGAATCAATAGGAAGAGGTGAGGGAGGAGAAGAGTCAGAGCTTCCCTGTAGGAATCTCAAGTCGCCAAGAAAAGAGGTGTTAGACCAAGAGCTGGAGACACCAGTAGAACCTGAAATAAAGGCAGGACAGGATTAGCCAAATACAGGAGGAGAAGAGAAATCCAGAGCATGAACTAAAGAACAAAGTAACTACAATCACACAGATATTAACATTGTAACGCTTAAGTAGCAAGAGTACCACGTGTAGGAAAGGAAAATTCTAGAGAGGGAGCTTCAAGAGGGGAGAACTCCGATGCCATACAAAGAAGGTACAGAGAGGCAGCTGAGGGGTTCTCCCCACGATGGGAGTCCTCACAGCACTAAAGCTCTGAGGTTTAAGAGAATGGCTGGAGATAAAAATTGTGGAGGGAAAGATTCTATTACGAAATGTAAAAAGTAAGAACACTGATAACTCCCCCCTTCCTTTTTCTCCTAAATACTGTTTATACTGTATTGACATTTCTTCTATATAAAGTGATACCGGAAGGGAATTTCAAAGGAATCATTAGGAAAGTGATTCGGCTGAAAATAACCTAAAGCTGACTTCTGAAGCCAAGCCTTAGGTCATTATGTGAGAATACAGGGCCCATATCAAAGGGAAATTGGCAGAGAGGAGCTGCCCCTGCAGGCCCATCCTGGTGGGGTTACAAAGTGTGGGAGACTGCCCGTGGAGCAGGTGTGTTTCAGGGGTGGGAATAAGCGAAGTTGGGGTAGAAAGGATCAGAGGCCAGCCAGAGGAAGCACAGTGGAAGAATATTCACTCTTGTACAACTTGGGGGTGGTAACGACTTTGATCCCACCAGTTCCAGTTTCCAGAGGGAATCTGGAAAGAACCTAGAGTGGGCAAGGGCAGCCTCACGTTAGGACCCCATGTGATGGACATGCCTGTCTCTCTCCTGCCAGGGCACTGGAGGTCCAAGACGGGCGAGTGTGCAGTAGAGGTGGGAGAAGCAGTCGTATCTGCAAGGCTGTCAACCCAGGTGGGCGGCCTGGACTCTAGCATCCTTGCAGCAATGAGGGCTGCAGGTGGCACCGCAGATGGCAGGGCCCCAAGGGCAGGCACCTGAGCGGAGACCCCTTGCTGGTGGATGGCAGCTGGCCCGAGGCACCAGGCCCACGCAGCACCTGCAGGGTTAGCTGCTCAGCACTGCCAGGGAGAGTTGATGAGCGCTGATCATCGTCTACCCTCTGCTTCCAAAGCCACTCCCAACAATGCAGGTGAAGGCTGAGGTTTCCAGTTAACCGCGGGGAGGGGCATCTTAAGAAACAGTGAGTTTTGTTGTAATCGTGGGTGTGCCACTCCCCAGCCCTGAATCGAATGTGAAAGAAAGACTGGGGGTTGTGAAATGCAACTCAGAAGTCGCTGCCTGCAGTTCTGTGTTAAGAGTGGAAATGAAAGGTCTCAAAAGCCGGGTGAGGGGCCAGCGTCATGGAGCACTTAGCAACTGCGTGTTAGAAATGCAAAGTAAAATAAAAGGACAAGGGAAGGAATTGGGGATCTCTTTTCAAGGAGGCACAGAATGGTGAGAAATATTCTTTAAATGTTTAAAAATAAAAGTGCTAAGGGGCTTCCCTGGTGGCGCAGTGGTTGAGAGTCCGCTTGCCGATGCAGGGGACGTGGGTTCGTGCCCCGGTCTGGGGAGATCCCACATGCCGCGGAGCTGCTGGGCCCGTGAGCCATGGCCGCTGAGCCTGCGCGTCCGGAGCCTGTGCTCCGCAACGGGAGAGGCCACAACAGTGAGAGGCCCGCGTACCACAAAAAAAAAAAAAAAAAATGAAAAGTTTTATTTGGCTCCTGGTAACTCCTCTAACCTTCTGCTGGCACGCCCAGTGGATGGCACACCCCTCTCTCAGGTAATGACAGCCACCACCCCACAGCCACAGACTTCACTTGAGGACTTCAGAATGTATTGCCTTGCTGATTGCATGATGCAGGGAGGGCACTACAGAGGAGCTGAGTACTGAGTACAGAGGGAAGCATTTTTGTTAGCCTTGCATTCCCACCAAAGGATTCTGAGGAGGGTCTAAGGGAAGGGACCACTTCTGGATTGGTTGCCATTTCTCAGGCAGGATTAGGAGAAGCAGGCTATTTGTGGCTAAGCAATGGGCTATCCACGGCAATAAGTGAAAATAGGAAACTGGGTCTGGGGGTGTCATTGGTACAAGTCAATCACTCCAAGAGAGGGTTATTATGGCATTTTGCATCCTTGAGAACGAAAGATGTTTTCTGCTAATTGCAGTTTGCTTTATCCGTCTCTGTCCTCCCAGCCTGGTTAAAGGCAGGGCTGCTTTTTGCTTTCTCAGTTTGAGCTGATTTTTATTCTTTCATTATTGGTTAGGTTTTTCTCTTTCAATCCTGTCTTGGCCAAGGGTAAACAATGTCAGCCCTTAGGACATTAATCTGTGAAATCCAGATCTTCCTCATTATCTGGGTCGACCTAAAGGCAGTTCAGAGAACCTCCTGTATGGCCAGATAAAAGAAAGCTTCTCATTCCTTCTGTTGTCCAATAAACTGTGGATCATCTCATAGGACAATGGCTGTGCGTTAGCCTTTGGATTCTGGAGGCCACACATTTGAATACTGCAACACAGACAACACTAGCAGAATACATTATGATCAGGGCGTATAATCTATTTCTTAACCAAGAGCCAGATTGACTCAGAATTGTATCAAGAACAGGTACCATCCCCATTCTGCAGAGCCTGTAGAACCAAACACAGGGGTATTAGCTAAAGTGAGCTGAGTATGAACTCATGTTTAGCTTAATACAGATACAGAAGGTTACATGTAGAAATATTTACATAAATATTATACATACATGGCTAATTATACACATTTTTCTTTGCTCTGTCAGCTGGGGAGGCCTAGAAGCAACACTCCACTAACCATGAGTACACCTATTGCCCAGATTTGGGTTTCTAATACCATTCTTCAATAAAATAAATCAGGGCTCTTTGGAGAAATAGCTGATTCTAGGACTGGGGCAGAAAATACAAGATAAACCTGGAACAGCCTGCAGTGCCAGAAAGTAAATAGGTGTTCCAAAAGGAAATAAGGAAGGAGAGAGGGAGGAAGAGAGAGAGAAAGAAAACACACATGCACACACAATGAAGGGACACAGGTCAACTGAAAACTTCGGGCATTGGGAAAGTTCCAGCTTTCCCGATGGCCAAAGCCGGAAAAATTTGATCAAGAAAATAAGGTACTGTTGGATTATAACTCAAAGTATAAAATAAATATCCATGAGTCTATGCTGATATAAATAAATGATTGAATAAATGAAAAACTGGGAGAGAAAAGACAAATGTCCCATGCAGAAGGATTTCAAAGCATTTATGTAGATACTTTCCCTCAAGAAGTGGAACATAACGCTCCCTCCTGAAATGTGAACTGCACATGGTGACTTCCTTTCAAAGAACACAGCGAAAAGACAGGGGCGGAAAGTAATTTTACAGTGGAGAAACCTGACAAAACTACCTCAGCCAGGTAATCAAGATTTACATCAGCAGTGGTAAGTCTTATTGATGGTACCCTGGATAAGATGTGATAAGAATGGTGCTTTACTCCTTTGATCTTCCTCCAGAAACCCATAACCCTAATCCATGAGAAAAACACCAGACAAATATCACTTGAGGGACATTCTACAAAGTACTGATAAAGTCAACAAAATACAGCCCTCCTCCAAACTGTGAAGGTCACCAAAGACAAGGGAAGTCAGAAATTGTCACAGCCAAGAGGAGCCTAAGGAGACGTGATAACTAAATGTATTTAATACGGTATCTGGATGGGATCCCGGAACAGAAAAAAAGACATCAGGTAAAAACTAAGGAAATCTGAATCAACTATGGACTTTAGTTAATAATAATGTAATTAGAAGTTTATTTTTAAAACAGGGTGTGTGTTTCTACCCCTCCCCTCCAAAAAAAATAAAAAAGGCTAAACACCCCTGTATACTTCATTACCACAGGGACTTTTGGGGACAGTTTTCTCTTGATTGATTTCAATTTCATTTTCTTTTAGGGCATATATTTAAACTGTCAAAGCTTTGCATTGTCATTTGTTAAAAATTAAGTACTGCTTTTGCCACAAATGGGCCCCTTCACCTCCGTCAGCTAATTACTTTAATCATGATATATTCCATTCTCTTGAGAAAAGGCCCATTGGAGGGTTTTGGTTTGGGGGTGTGTGTGTGTGTGCCCGTGTGTTTGCCTAAGTGCTGGTTAAGTAGCATTCGTCTGACTTTCCCTTCAGGTCCCTTGTTAGTTATGTGACTTTGAGCAAATTACCTAACTTTCCCTTATATGCATGATGGGAATCTAGTCCTTCACTCAGTGAATATGTACTGAGAACCCACTGTGTACCAGGCACTGTGCTAAGTCATGGGAAGACAGACAAGTGCAAAATGGTCTCTGTCCCCCATGGAGTTTATGGTCCACGATAATTAATATTACTAATAATTAATCAAGTTATAAGCAAAAGCAAAATGATCACAATTTCAATACACACTACCAAGGTACAAGGGAGAGGATGTGCTGCCCTGGGGGAAGTGAGGCTCTGGAGAGATCCAAGGGACGAGACGGGATGGAAAGCCCTGCCAGGCAGAGCTCAGGGAGCCTGGTGAGCAAATGCCCTGGCCTCTGCCTCCCCTTCACCGCTCCGGTCATCTAGCCAGTTCGTCCAATGCGCTGAGTCTGGGAAGAAGGACACAGAAAGGGACAAGTGTCTCAAACTTAACTAGCCACACTTGAAGTCCTCTCCCTACCACTGAGGAAAAGAAGCAAAGACTCCAAACAGGCTTCTCAGCAGCAGAGCCAGCCTTAGAGGTGGGCACTGGTCCCAGCAGGAGCCCTCACAGCCCTGCCCTGGGCTCCAGCAGCCCCAGGGTGCCTGCGGCTGCACTTCCACCTCTCAATCTCTCTGCGGCTGCTTCTGCCCTGTTGACTGCTTGCTCTGATCTCTGCTGTGCCACGTGGCTTTGCTTTATGAGTGGCCTCTGCTGGCTGCTGGCTGCTGTTTGCTGCCACCTTTCTGAGGCTCTCAGCTGCTTCTGCCCTGTTGGCTCCCCCACCTGTTGAGGGAGATGCACTTGGCTCAGCTGGTCAATGTCCATAAGCGCCCTCCCATGGGTGCACGTCTGCACCCATGGCCTGGCTGGAGCTGCTGCATTTAGGTCGGTGGGAGCAGGAAAAGTGAGACAGGCGTCAAGACCTCTTGCGTCTGAGGGCCTGCCTCTGGCCACCCTTGCTCCTTTGGCGAGGCACGCACTTCTCAAGAGTTTCACAACCCAAAAGTAACTCCCCTTCACCTCCCACAATCGGGGTCATGGCACTCACAAGGCTGTATTATATTTGCTTCTTTTCTCATTTGTCTCCCTCCCTGGAGCGTGTTAGTTTGATAGGGTGGCCATAACAAAGTACCACAGACTGGGTGACTTAAACAACACACATTTATTTTCCCACAGTTTTGGAGGCTAGAAGTCCAAGATCAAAGCATGGGTAGGAAGCATCTCCTCTGAGGCCTCTCTCCTTGGCTTATACGTGGCTGTCATCCTCAGGTATCCTCACGTGATATTCTCTCTGTGCAGTGTCTGTGTCCTAACCTCCCCTTCTTATAAGGATACCAGTCATGTCGGATTAAGGCCCACCCATAGGAGCTCACTGGAGGCTCTGTCTCCAAATACAGACCCATCCTGAGGTACTCGGGGTTAGGACTTCAGCATGTGAATTTGTGGCGGATGTGACTCAGCCCAAAATATCTCTCAAGGACAAAACCTTATGCTGTAAGTCATGTTATACCCAGCCCTCAGGACTACCTGACCCACAGTGTGCACTCAATTTTTCTAAAGGCAGGAAAAGAGACTAAGATGAAGAGAAAGAGCACATGTGGGAGGGATGGTTCAGAGTTGGCAGCTTAACCCAAGGCGTGGAAAAAAGTGAGACGGCCAGTGTGAAGCAATACAGAGAACGGCATGACCAAGACAAATGTTCATTTTGTTGAGCTGTAGGAAATGAAACTGAAGGTTAGGCCCAATACTTGAAGTCCTGAGTGCCCAGATGAGGCACTTGGAGTTTACACTGCGAGCAACAGAGCTGCCCTGAGAGGTCATGAGCGGAGGAAGAACTTTGAATCTTAGTGGAAAATCTGGCATTGGAGAGCTTCTGCCTAGAGACATGCAATTTTTATTAAGAATTCCAGAAAATTGTGAATAGTGCAAGGAAAAAACAAAACCAAACCCTGCCTCTTTCTGGTCAAAGGTTGACTTTTCTAATAATAAAGCATTAGGTAACAGGACCATTAAGACCTCATTTAAAAATTGATCTTTTTTATGATATAACCAGGTCAATTTCTAGAGGGGTGGGTCACCACCCTTGTTTAGAGCTTTCAAAGGGTTCATTCCACTGGCCCTCTGGGAGATCCCAGCAAGTGGCTCTGTCTTCTTTTATTGGTTTGATTTTATATGGTTACCTCGCCCTGCTCACAAGACCACTGATCTGTGTTTGACAAAGATTCTCTCGTGGTAATTAACCAAAAAAACCCTGGAGCTAGTAAGGCAGAAAGATTTCTAGGCTTAAGTAACTGGTGAGATAGGGGTGCAGCTGGCCTCAGGCATGCCTGCAACCAGGAACTTTGGTCCTTCAAACCTCTCTTGTGCTGGCTTCATTCTCTCAGGCTGCCTGGCTGTACAGGACTCACAGCCTCAATGGTTACATCATTAACTTCCTTCCCTTCCTCACCAGAGGAAAATTTAAGAGTCTATCAACCAACCCCAACCTCTGGTCTAATTTGAATCCCAGTTCAAATAAACTGTTTTAAAAAATGAAAATTTGCACCTGACTTGGTATTTGATAATGTACGAAATCGTTGTTAATTTTTAAGGCAGGGTGATAGTATTGCACTTATTTTTTTGAAAGAGTCCTTATCTTTTGAAATTCATACTGAAATGTTTATTGTGAAAGCTACGATGTTGGGCATTTGCTCCTAAATAATAATGCAGGGAGAAGTGGGTGAGGGTTGGGTGAAACAAGATTAAAGAGGACCCTTCTTCACCAGAACCAACTGGAAAATTCCAGAGAAACCCTGATTAGGTCATGTACCCACTCCTGCCCAAAAAGATGCTTATGGTTGACCTGGGGAGGAGAAAATCCCTCCTCAAAAAAGGGGGGTGCTAACCCAGACTGATAAAATAATAAATGTCTGTTTTGGGGCCTCAAAGAAATTATTTTTATTTTCAAGCATTTTGAGGTTACATGTTTGGTCCTGGTGACCTGATAGGTTAAATTTTCCAAGACAGTCTCAACTTCATTTAATGTAATTTTCTTCTCAATAAAGTGTATAACTAAATATGATTTGTGTACACCTTTGTACAATTTCATATGAATGAGTGAGTGACTAAATCTGAAAGTCATTTGTCAAACCTTGTGCCCTTGGTTTCAGAAAACTGGGTGGGTTGCTCTACTGTTGAGCACACTGGCAAAATTAGCAAGAATCTCATGATCGTTCTTCTTTTTTTTTTTTTTTTCGCGGTACACGGGCCTCTCACTGTTGTGGCCTCTCCCGTTGCGGAGCACAGGCTCCGGACGTGCAGGCTCAGCGGCCATGGTTCACGGGCCCAGCCGCTCCGCGGCATGTGGGATCTTCCCGGACCGGGGCACGAACCCGTGTCCCCTGCCTGCCGATGCAGGGGACACGGGTTC